TTAGTTAGTTCGGCCTAATATTGGTCTGCCCAAGGCGAAAATACAACAGTCATATTATACGAATTTTAATTAAAAGCGTTTATCTATGTGAAACATAAAAGATATAATATTTTGTTTAACAATCTCAAATACTTCCTCCAAGTTGCAATTTTACTTTTATTTAACATGACACTCATCAATTATAACAAATTTTGTAACTCCTATCATATACTAGTAGATTTGATAGATTAATTTATTTAATTAATAAATTTTATTATTTTTAATTAGGCTTTATTTGATATATGAATTTTTATTTATAAAGGTAAATATAAATTGTACACATATACACAATATGAAAATCATATCTAAAAATCTTAAAAGTATATCGTGAAAAACTAATAACAAGTAAAAAACTTATCGAGTTTTAAACAATAAAGTTTAAACTGCATGAACTAGATCATGCACCAAAAATCAACACTTACAAAATTTAAGCAATCAAGAAATTAAAGGAGTTCTTCAATACAAAACAAATCAACAGCACTAACAAATTGAAATTCTAAAATATATTACAATAAACCCCGTAGGATGTTTAAAAGGAAAAAGAAAGAAACAAGATGCCAAGCAGAAAACAAACACTAGCATCAGTCAAAGGTTCCTTCAAAGGTGTAACTAAATAAGTCAACAAACCTTGCCAGCGTTACATTTGACTGAGTAAACCAAAAAGTTAAATCAAATCAGCAACATTCATCGGCATTTCATCAATCTGTGTACTGTAATATTGCTCGATGTCTCTCAGGATTTTGATGTCGTCACTTTTAACAAAGTTTATGGCAATGCCCTGCAAACCATCACAAACCTCACATTAGTGAGTGAACAATTACAAACAAAAACTGCACGGATTGTATAATTCCCAAAGACAAGCAATTAGCTGAAAAGATCACTCGACGAGCGCCTCGATTCTTTGTAAAGAGGATGTCATGTCATGTATAAGAGGTCTTATGCAGGACCTCGCTGCGCTGGCGTTGTGTTAGAGTGTGCTTAAGGAAATCGATGAAGAGTGTTGTGGTAACAACATCGAAGCTCGAGCGATAGTAGGGAAGGAACAACATGCAATATACTTTCGGGTTTTTATGCGAGCTATAACAACAAAAATGTAGTGATAAACGACTTGCTAGTAGTATGGTCAGGTCATACATTGTCATGTTGAAGAAATGATACCTATGAGCTCGTTCGTGCCATTTAATGGGGAAACGTCCTCGATTTCTAATTAAACCACAAGGATTCGGACAACGCAAGTTTCTGACTGGGGCAATTGATTCTTTAGCAAGTGGACCGAAGTGAGCCCCTTACTCATATCGCGAAGGAGAACTAATTAACTTCCTTTCTGTGAGCATATATTATAGGTATGGTGTTCTGGCAAACAGCCCGAAGACTGAAGGCGAAGCTACTGAAGGCAAGGCTATTGGGTTAGCGGTACGCTACGCACCTAAGAGAATCGGGCAGTTAGTGAAAGCTACATTTTTTTTTTTGGTACAATGAACCTTCCGGTTTCCGAATCCCCTAGGGGACCGACTAATCCGGAATCGAGCCGGGTAGGACCACAAGGGCGGCAAAGCTCTACCTCAAGAGTTTTAACACAGCTGCATTCCCAGGGCTCGAACTCGAAACCTCTGGTTAAGCTGGGAGAGACCCCAACCATCTCACCCACGTGCTCTTGGGTAGTGAAAGCTACATTTGATCTCAAATAATGGTACAACATTTAATAGGAGTAAAATCAGAGCATGTTGCGAGAAAATATGCGTTCAACTGCTTTTTGCTTCATTTTCACATCCTCGGGAAAATGGCAAAGTCAAGGTTATCAATCGTCAGGTAAATGACCAGGTCATGTTACCTAAATTAGCGAAAAATGTTCACTGCTTTTAATGGGTTTTTCTTTGGACAAAACTCATTATTGAATTTTTTTATCTTTATTAGTAAAATATTTTGATTTTGAAACCATATTTTCTTCGCTAGTCCCATCATTAGACTCATCAGTCATTTTATCTCTTAATGTTGATTCTTCCTCAATACGAAGACGTCTTGAAATCTCCTCGAAGGAGTAATTTTCATTATAGTGGAGAATCCATTTTCGATACCTCTCCAACTTGAAGGTAGTTTAGCCACAATGACACCAACTTGGAAAGCCTCCAGAAGTTCAATTTTTAATACTCTCAATTTATTCACAAGTATTTGCAACTCACATGAATTTGAGGTAGTAAAGATTTTTCGTCAAAAAAATTAAAATCAAAATATTGAGAAATAAGAAATTTTTTAGTACCTTCTTCTTCGATGTTATATTTATTTTTATTGAGCCTCCCAAATTTTTCTAGAATTATTGGTGTTGAGATCATATAGCCTATCAGATTAGACATTTAAAATATATATGGCCTCAACATATTAGCTCGTCTTCGTCTCTTTTCTTCCATGTAGCCACAATTTTTGGCGTATATTTTTCATTTGGTTTTGGTAGAGAAGCCAAGGTAGGATCGATGATATAAAATATCTTGAGGATCATGAAGAAATTTCACATTGTCTTGCCACCTAGTGAAATTCGAACCATCAAACCTATCCAACTTTACAAGGTCTTAGTTGATAATCTTGATCGTCTCCGTCTACATGTAGATTGAGTTTTTTATTGTTTAAAATAATACCTAACAATAGAGAAAGACACTCAAATTTTATTATTCAACATTTCTCTCAAGAACACTTATAAAATAATATACAAGGCTCAAACAAATTATTTGGAACATTGTCCAAAAACTCTATTTCCTCAATCTCTTGAAATCTTTTAGAGAACGCGTACAAACTGGAAATGGGTTTTGGGATTGATCAAGCCTTCTATTTTTTTTCATAAGATTTCACAAAGAAAAAAAGTACTTATAGGACTCATGGTCGTGTGGTTACAAAACGTAATAATGATCCCTCACAACTTATCTTCTTTAATGAGAAATATTAATCTCAGAAAGTTACAAATTGTTTAATTAATTCAGGATTAGTTAAACCGATGTTTCAAGCTTGTGAAAGTGAAACTCATCCCACATGCATTATCTCGAAACTTATCAAACATTCATGCAATATGTAACATCTTATACTCATGAATGTAACGTGCAAGTTTCAATATTATGATGAAGCTTGTGAAATTCATCTTACATCCATGTATATAACATGTAACACATCTTACATTAATATTTTTATATTCACCAAAATATAACAGTTTACTAATCAAAATACTATAACAATCTATGTCAATTATCCACTAATACAATAAACTATACATTATGAGCTAATAAATAGGTCATTACCTATAATCTGAGTTCTTTCGCCTACATCTACGAGATTGGTTGATTCAGAACTTGCAAAATGGCTTGGGTATTGGTGTTGTTGGTTGGGAGACTATTTTTGGGGTCACGGCGTGGCATATCTGGAGGGGGAGAAATGAAAAGCTTTTCTCTGATAAAAAATTCGTCATCTCTAATAAAGTTCGGAATGTTAGGTCCTTTGCTCAAGGAATCAGAACTATCACCTCGGCCGCAAAAAACCTGAGTGGCCTCAGGGTGGGGAATGGAGTGCATTTCATTCGATAGGAAGCTCCTGGTGACGACACTGTCAAAGTTAATACAGATGGCTCCTTTTTGACTTCGTCCGGGATGGCGGCGACCGGAAGCTTGGTTCGTGATGCAGGGTGTCGTTGTGTTGGTATGGCTTATATATTGACAAAGGAAGGAGGCAGGCTGATGCTTGCAAGCGGAGCGAGCGTACGGGGTATTTAAGTAAATTTATACCTTGTAGGGTTATAATATAAATACATGGTGTATTGATGTATTTGTATTATCGAGATAATAAAAGATCGCTCCTCTGCCGTGGACGTAGGCACATTGCCGAACCACGTAAATCTTGTGTTTTTTACTTTCTCGTCTTTAATTCGTATTGTCATCGTTTCACAACACGTTGGCTTGGGGGGTTTCTGATGAATATTGGGTATTGTTCGATCATAGGATCAGAGTTATGGGGCCTTTTCTAAGGTTTGCTACTAGCTTGGGACTTGGGATGCCGTAAGATTACTGTTGAAGTGGACAACAAAAGTGGTGACAATGGCAAACGGGGGCTTAACGAAGAATCTTGGAGTACATGGTACTTTGGTTCGGGCCATTTGGGATCTGCTTAACCGGGATTGGGAGGCAAAAGTGACTCATTATTATCGAGAAGCTAACTTTGCAGCTGATTGCTTGTCGACTCTTGCCCATCACTGTCCTAGTGGTTGCCAACGATTATCAGACCCACCAATAGAAGTTAAATCGTGACTACAGCATGACTTTATTGGTATTGCGTACCAGCAGAACATAACTACTTGATTGCTCTA